ATTACCACTGAACAATTTGTAATGAGTCAGATACCTAAAATGATAATTTTTGGAAATCCTCCAAGTGAGAAGTGCTTCAGTGTCAATGGATTCATTACATTCATGAAATTATGATTATTTCATAGAAAGAATACAAATATTGAAAACACCTATATCTGTGATAAAATTGAAGTTTAATGTGTGCTCATTTCCTTGTATTCAAACATGTTTCTGTCTCTTTACTTGTGCTGCAATATTTTTAAAGGAAATATAAACTTCCCTTTTCAATGGTGTGAAACATATAAAATAAATTTGAGAATAACACCTTCGCTGTGCCACCAGTTAAAAAAGACTGATAACTATATTTAACCTTGCAAAGTCTTATTACAAATGAACATAGTGTGAATACATAATCTGACCAAAATTTATAAATACACAAAGTATCAATGACAAATGCTTTGAGCAGTTCAGAGGAAGAGTGATTTCAACTTTACAATAAGTCAGAATATGCAGAACAAATAACTGTTCAGTCTTCTCCTAAGAAAAAAACATGTACTGATCAAAGGCTGCAAAAAAGAGAAATTGTATGGAATGATGTAAAATGGTGAGGATAACAATGAAAAGTAAAAACAACAATAGAAAGGGTAAAAGTCCAGCTTTGTTTTAATGTTAAATACAATGCATAAATTTATTACCATTTATTTTTTGTACATTTTATATAAATCTATAAATATGTATTTTTTGCACACAAAAGAAAAATCAATGAGGAACTGGTGAATGCTAGACTAATGCTAATAAAACACACACACATTCCTCCCTGGCGGGCTTTACAAGTGCACTCGTACACATCCACAGTGATTTCATGTCGGGCACCATTTAAATTAGTTGTTTGCAGACACAAATTGACTAATTTGTTATTATGTTTGCCACACAACACAATGTGGCCATCCTTTAACAAGGCTTCACCTTCTTTTAAGGGTCTTTTTGTGTCTCCTATATATTTCAAAATATGGTGCAGAATAAGTTTAATTTCTTTATTTGCCATTGCGTTAACAAAAAAATCAATGGAAGATAATAAATACGGATAATTTTTAGACACAACAATCATTCACCTACAAACATTATGGTAGCTCTGTTTTCTTTTCCTACGTGCGTGATCAACTGATCATCTGTCAAAGCCCCCCCCCCCTATAGTTCGTTGACATCGCCAATTGCATTTAAATCTACCTTCAGAGTTAATTCGCAACTCGTTGCCGCACCGACACACCATTTTGTCTTTAATAACACTGTGTTTGATCATAAAATCTAATGCATTACCCTTATTTAAACACAATCCGAAACTTTCTGTAAATCTTAGTTCACACTCAACACACTCCATTTTGTCTTCCTTTAGTAACGAACACAAAAAAACAAGAAATGAGTTGAAAATACCACACCTATTGCCCACCGATATTTTAAACACAATTGCCAAATCTAAAATACACTTTAATGCAAAATGTATCCTTATTTTCATATGAAATTATCTTTTATCATCTAGACGGCAACGCAGGTACAGTGGAACCTCGATTATCTGTCAGGGCACCGGACCAAGGGTATGACGGATAAACGAAAAGACGGTTAATAGAACATTAAAAAAAATCATAGTATAACTCTTAAACTTTTTGTATGTTTTTATGTTTTATTTGACAATATTAGATGGATTTATGTTAGTACAGTCGAATCAATTTGATTTAAAATATTCCGAAATCTTTAAAGGTTTTATTGTTACTTCACATTTTGCAAAGGCAAAATTTCTTAATCGACGTAAAATCATCAAATCTACCTTATTTGGTTGTTCTTGCCGAGAATACCACTTGGTGAATTATTGGATGTGCGATGCAGCTTCTCTAGCTTCCTTATTTCCTCTTTGTGAATTGCAATAGCATCATCAACGATTTCATCATCTGTCAGCAATCGATAGCCGTTTGTGTCCTCATCATAAATTAACCACTCGTTTATGTCATCTTTAGACAACAAAAACAAAACAGTTGATTTAGCCATAACTGCATTTGTTACCGCATCACACTCGGCTGTCACGAGGACATTTTCATCTTGAGTTGATTCAGGCCATAATTTATTCCTCGCTCTTTCCAGCGTTACTTCCGGAACATCAGCCCAAGTATCCACAGCATTGTCTACTGCGTGTTTTAAATTGTACGCTTTCCAGTATTCTGGTAAAGAATATTCCTCTTCCATAACTAGGTTTTGAATACATTTTTTCTGTATTGATCTGTATTTGATGTATTTTTTGATCTGTTGGCTGTATCAATGATGTATTCGCAAACAGAAAAGAGCACTTGGTATTTTCATTGTCACTTCGCAGCATACCGGCTTCAGGATCTGAAGCCCTGAATAAGAACAATATTATTTACATAAAAAAATGCGGTGGTGACATAACTTCACGTGCACATTTCAACGAATTTCGTTTGGCTTATCGCAATGCTCAAACAAAATGAATTGATGACTAAATTTTTACTTATTTTTGTCAATATTACTTATGTATGGATCCTGGCGGTTAACAGAGGTGACGGTTAATGGAGAGACGGATAATCGAGGTTCCACTGTATATAAAAAATTTCATTTATTCAATTAAGGTCGGGTATTTCGTTTGGATATTGCGCAGTATAAAAAAATATGGATTCACAGAGAATTCTGAGATTGACACCTAACCGTTAAAAGTATGTCTGGGAATCCCTCAATATTTATTAGCATCAATTTTTTTATTTGTCATAAGAAAACATGATAATAAACCTAAAGAAATGTAACCAAATCTAACCTGATCCTTGTAAAGAACTATAATTTTCAATTAAAAGTAGGTAATAATAAAATATTATTTTAATATCCAATTTGAAAGTAAATTTTTATTTTTCATTAGAAAACATAATTTTGAATAACTATGGCAACACTGGTTAAAATTACCATTTTTGACAATAAGAAACAGTTGTCATTCCTGTCATTTCTTGTTGTTTCATGGTAAATAATGGCGGTGGCTTTTAAAAATCGGGCATATTTTAAATGGAAATTACATAAAAAAGAATGTCTTGCACTGAATAAAAATTATTGCACAATTATTAGTAAATGAAGCAGAATTCATTGATATAAATTTCATCTCCGTAAACATGGTTCCGGCTTATTACACTAGTACCTATATATACATAAGTATAATAGAAATGTGTCCTCTTATGCTAAATTTTATTGAAATTTTTTGTAAAATACAGTGGTATGGGAGGGGTTAAGCATGTATAATATTAACAGTATGTTTTTATTTTTTTTACATTTGACTGGATTTTTTATGCGTTATATCTGAAGTCTGTTAAGTAGAGGTCCATTATATGGAAGTTTTTCTGTACTTTATATCAAAACAAAAAAATCCAAGATCAATATTTTAATTGATTCCAAACTCACCAAAGTAAAGTTAATGAACTTACCATGGTGGTACCTGGTTTTGTTCAGAGATATACAAATGAATTTTAAAGTTTTTATTTTCATCAGAGATTCCTGCTCCCTGATAAGAATCAATCTAGAATACTGCTTCATTCTCCCTCAAATAATTACTATATTTATCAAATAGAAAGGGTCCAGAACGAATTTTTAAATATTGCAACACTTTATTGTGGGAACATATACAAATGAATCAATTAGAATTAGTCTTTCCTTATACACTTTAGTTAGAAGGAAGAATGTTAATTGGTGATTTGAACAGGGTCACTAATGCTGAAATTTTGAGAACAATTTACATTAAGACTTCTATTCAGAAACAAGCAGTCTCATATCTGCATAATTCTGCACAGTACTAACCATGGCACAAATGAACCTCTTTCTCACTTAAGTACATAAAGCTATCAAATTTAAAAATGCCTTAAACAGCCAATTGTGAGTTCTCTTTACCTGTGTTATTTTTTGGTTTATTTTGTTATGAATTTTTAACTGTTGCTTTAGACTGTGAATAATTGTTATTATATTTTGTAATAATTATATTCATGTTGATAAATAAACAAATTAAGATTTTATGTGTTTAGAAGGTTTCCAAAAACCTTTAGAATCAGATTTCTGTACATGTTATTTTATCAACACCTGTTGTAATTTGTGGTCCCATAAAACTTTGTCTTAGACCAAACATTTGATTGTTGCTCAATATTGACACATGAAGGTCAAGTTTATCTATAATCTATAAAAATAAATCATTAACAATTATGCTTTTTCTTTGTAAACAATATTTTTGGTCACTTAAATATGATTAATGCACCCTAAAAATATCATCAACTAAAATATAATAGTACACAGGATACAGTATGATCTGGCTGTAATAAATCTTCAATTAGCCTTGGCTTTTTATTATACATGACTCAATCCATGTGCTCTTTAGTCATTTTTCAAAAGCTTTATTAACATCACTCTTCTAATAATTAGCAAAACTTATTTCCAGTATATAAAACTTCTAACTTAAAACCCTAAGTAGCATTTACACTTTACAGTCACACAGTTCTTATAGTTATTTTTGTCTACATTTTTTAATAATGAGTAACTTGAATATTAGTGACAATTCAAAATAAAATGAAAAACCACTTAATGTCCATTTTGCATGTTGAATTCACCAAGTTTACTTTAAAAAGGACATACGCCCGTGAATGATATAAAACCCATCCGATCATATTACCAATGAATTTGGTTAATCATTGATGTCAACTTAGGCGGGAAGCATTTGTAGATGTACAGTTATTACTTACTAAGAGATCAACACGCACATTTTTAGTATTCCAAGATTGAGCACATATGTGAGGTATGGATCTAAAGTAGATATACACATCTAAATTGTTTTAAAATAACGCACATGTGATTTCAAGTTCCAAAGCGGCATGCCTTAGTAGCATACACGTTGTGAATGATAATTATTTTTATGATTTGCTAATAAAATATGAACTGCCCTATATACTTTTCGGTTTTATGATACAAAAATATAGTTGATAAAAATATTTACATACCTCAGCTTGAGTTCTAATCACGTTATCCGTAGATAAAAGTGTTGTTAAGATTTGGTAAAATTGCTCCTGTTCGGCGGCCATGGCGCCTTCACATCAAAGAACGATAACATCTCATAACAGGATGGACAATATACGTCAACTGTCGTTTTGACATCTAGTAATAAAATTGAAATTCCCTAAAATTAAGTACAGGCGCGGCCTTCATCCTAAATAGGTATGGCACCACAATAAGAAGAGAAAATCATAATTTTAATACTTGTTCTGTGATTAGAATGTAGATTTTACTGAGGATCTACAAATTGACTGTGACTGTGAATCACAAAATATTGAATATATGGTTTAGCGAACGCATTTTTCTAGAGATGATGTTTATGCCATTGTTAAAACTGAAGTATGCATTCTAGAATAATGACAATTAATATATAAAGCCAGTAGAAGTTTCTAAGTACTGATTTAGTAACACGTGTTAATTATGCAAACCTAATGCAAACATTATCAAATACATTTTTTTTGTTATCTGATTGAATAGATATTCTCATTTACCCCAGACTGTAAGGCAACTAGCAATATCATGTGGAATTTATACGTTTTGCGTATTACAGTAATACAGGATCTGGCAATATCATGACAATATTTTCCCTGGAAACAGTGTCATTGTCATCATTATCGGACCAGTAAAATGTGTCATTGTTATTATTATTTTTTGTTAATTTAACAATTGGATTATTGTTTTTCTTGTCAAATTCCACTATTGTTCCAATGTAGTCTTTCAGAGATTTCTTTCCGGTATATTTTACTATAAGCCACTGTCCAGATTTATAAAATCTTTCTTTACATTTTCAATATTGTTGCCCATATGTCCTCAACCAAATCACCTAATGAATCATCATCTAAAGAATCATTATCTAACTATGGATCTATATCAGACAACTCGTCAGTAGAACTGGAACTCTGCTGTTTTCGTCGTCTATCGTCTAGATTTTATTTTCCGCTGATACTTTACCCCACTGGTGCTGGTAACTGTAATTTTTGGTAATAATAATTACTGGTTATAACCTCGACACCAGAAGTTACTCGTGTTTTTTTTACCGGCAACAAACGAGGCATTGGTTTGATGTTTTCCAAAGCAAGTCTTTAAACGAAACCGATGGCGGTAAATCTTCTAAAGTTGCCTTTTATATTTAATATTTTAGTCACCTTGATTCGCAGTTTTATTATTCATCTCGTTTCAACGTTTATAGGTGTGTGAGTGAAATTTATCTTCTCCTATAACGTCATTTTTGTATGAGAATATTCCCGCTTTCCGAAATCCGCTTTGGATGATTTTTGGCTTTCTACCATGCCACACGTTACGAACAAACTCAGAAATTGTTCGCTTCGGCATTTTTATTCCTTGTTTTTTTCGCTGCAAAGCCACCAATCTTTTGTCCCACTCAGTCTTAAAGGATTTAAAGACAGAGCAATCTGAGGTTTGTAATAAATGCAATGTGTGTGGCGGTAACTTGAGGATGGTAATCTAATTTTTACAATCTAATTCAATGACTTTTGTATTTACGTGAGTGCTGTGACCATCATATATCAACAATATTGGCTTTTCTTAACCCACGACATTCAAAAATGTATTTTTTAAGAAATTGACGAAAACGTCCGTTTTCATCCAGCCGTTTGGAGTAGCTGCATATGCTATGTCGAGATGATCTGTGTCCTGTGTTGTCATCCGCTAATTTCATACAAACTTTCCTTTAAATATAATACAGGGTGGTGCTTTGCCTCTAAATGACAAATTTGCCACAGATAATGTTGTTGTAGTCTCCTAGCCTTGATCGCTGGTAATTCGCGAACACGGTTTACCTTTGGCTTCTAGCACCTTTACTCGGGATAGGCGAATGCATAATCTGGTTTCGTCCAAATTCCATATTTTCTTAGGCTTATCATTAAGATTTAATTCAACAAGGGTGTTAAGAGTTTAAGATACTCATAAATGGGAAGTGATCATACATCTTTTTCCTTGAGAGATAATTTTTATCTTGCTTTAAAGTTAGTGAATCAGTCATGACCAGAAATGTTGTTTTCAAATGGCGTTCATATATTATTTTATGTAATAAAATCAGAGACAATCATAATTAAGGATAGGTATAGAAATAATAAATAAGACTTACTCACAATCAATTTAATTTAACTATCTGACGACCGGTTTCGCTTTCTACAATATGCAAAGCATCCTCAGGTCTCGATACAAAGTTAAACAAATGCTGAAATAATAAAAACCCATATTAGGGTGTTGTCCAATAACGATACACAAAGTAGATGTTGTAAATTACAATAATTATGCCAATATTACATGTCTGTGGTTTTATTTAAATGAGTAAGTTGAATAAAAACTATAAAAATTTTCAAAAGTTTAAACAGACAAGGTAAGGCCCACAAATTGTTATAAAATAGTCTCTTCGATTGTAATAAATTAACAGATGAGCAAATAAATAAATAAAATAAACATTACTTAAATGCCGGTACTCTATTAATTGATGGATGGTAGAACATGGTTGAAACTACTATATATTGTTGAATGGAGAACTCAATTCTATTATTGTTATTGTATTATTTTTCTGGAGCCCCATTTTTCTGGAGTTTTTAAACCTTCGGCTAATTTGCGCTCGTGTTCGATAGGCATAACTGGTCCTTTGCCTAACGAATCACTTTTTTCCCTCAAAAACCAGTCAAATGATTGTGCAATGTTGTTTTTGGAATTGCATAATTTCGGCTTGCTGTATGCAGTGTCGTTTTTTCAGATCTGATATCTTGAAGTGCTTGTTACAGCTGTTCTTTATTATATGATGTCACTCTCTCCGTCTTACATTGGTAAATGCGAACCATGGACTTGAGATAGAATGGTTTAGGTAAAGAAGACCCGATGGACAAAAATGAGTGGCGACGAAGAGTCAGGAACAAAACAACGACCCCTGAAAAGAGAAAGCTGAGGAAGAAGAAGAAGTATGGAAGTTGTAAAGCCTTTCTTTAGGCTACGTGCCTCTTCAAGGTATGGAGTTTTTGTGTATGTTTGGGGCGATTTTCCGTTAATGATTTAAGACCGGCGTAGGTGTCGAGGCAGGAGTTTGACCGCGCTTATCATCCATTGAGTTGATGTTAGGTGGACAACTTTGTCTTGGATAGTTGAGATGGCCGTTGATAAAAATACATTAAAAAACAGAACGATTCCTTTTAGAATTGTTTGGACTTTCTTTAGTAAATCGCTTGTAGGTTAGCTGTAGCTAGTTCCTCACCTAGGTACAGGTATCGTTGTACAATAAGGTTGGGAAAACACCAAATTCCTTTTGTTCTTGTGTAAATGGAATCGACTCTGAAGGATATATTATAGAGGACTCACTTTCCATTTTTGGACTATCAAGGGTTGTTGCCTTCTAGGAGCTAAAGCTTAGGTAGGATGTAACGGGATTAAAATCTGGTTTGTATAAATCTTTGATTTATACAATGGTTGATCGTGTCCATACATATTTTGGAAGATCTCTTTACAAAGATGTTAGTAATAGTTTTTTCAGGTAAGACGTTGAAGATCATAGACATGAGGATAATTATAGACTTCTGGTATGAGGGAATTTGTCTGGGGTAGTGACTGTCTGTGTCTGTTTCTGTGTTATGGGAGCGCGTTTTCTGCCGGGAAATTTGTGTCAATATGCCGGGTGTTTGCCGCGGCAGTTTGGACAGGATGGTCTGCTCTTTGTTGGTATTATGTGCTGTGATGTCCGCTTTGGCAGCACCTAGAACAGTATTTTAAGCGCAGGGTGATGACATTATTCGATCCAGGGATCTTATAACGTATAATATCAGCATATTCAGTTTAATACCGTACTGCAGTGCTTCTGCGAACTTTTGTTCTGAGTTCGCGAAGACTTGAACGAAGTGCGTAGGGATGTTATTTTAGCGTCAATTATTCTGACGATTTAGTGTGAGGAAAATGGCCTAATGATAGATGATCTGCAATGTCTTTTTGTAAAAGATTTTTGTTAACGCCAGTCATGTTGTGATGGAAGTTTGATTGGATTTTGTTTCTTTTTTTAGACTTTTGAGGGGTGTTTTTAAAATATCTGTGGCCAATGGTGATTATGATATCACCAATGCTGTTCTTTATTTTTGTCTGGAATTCGTGGATATTTAGGGGATGGAATGTGTTGAGGAGTGTTGTTTTGTCTGATAAATAAATTTTTAAGTGGGCTATGTTATTGAGAAGAAGTTCGTTTGATTCAAATGTTTGATTGGATATGTTCTATAAGGTATTTATGAGTTATGTTGTTTTGTTGGGTTGTCTTGTGTGTTTGTGTTGCTTGTGTGCGATGGTTGTAGAGGATGGTTCATATCGATTGTTTGAGTTGATTGTTCTGTAGATCGAGTAGTATGTATTTCGTTTTATGTGTCTTGATTGTACCAGAGAACTACGAACGCAGTGAGTTCTCTGGTTGTACCACAGAATACCTACTTCTGTGGTTGTACGGTTGGGGGGTGAACGTCCAGTAGGTATTGTTTCTATCGCAGGTTCATGTTGTGTGTTGTATGTAACTGTAATATTACATCTGAATGTTACAAATGAATGTTATCGTCTTCGATATGGGATATAATAAGGTGTTTTGGTAGAGATGATGTGTTGAATTTGGATTTGGTTGTAAGTGTAGCGGATTTGTCGGGAGAATTGACTATAAGATACTTGAATTTTGGGCCGGATAGGTTTTGAGTTTTAAATAATCGATTAAATCTGCGTTGATTGCAGAATTGTGAAGGAATGCATGTGTTTACGTTATAACTTTGAGCTTTTTCTGCAGAGATTTGGCATTAAAGGGGTTTGTTGTGTGTAAAGGTAGGTTAAATGGTTATAATTAATGTGGTTTAACTGTAGAATTTGGTTGGGATGTGGTTTATCGTGTATTTTGTGTCGTGTGAGTGTGTTGTGTCAAGTGATTCAAGCGACTCGTCGTTCAGGTAATCGTAATCGTTCCGTATACTAGCTGCTGCTTCTCTCAGTTCTTTACAACGAGAATCCAACTACAGTAATGGACATTCGGTACAAACCGGATCTCCTGTTCAACGACTGTGGGTATTTGTATG